CACTCCAGTGGCTCGGGAGCAGATGGGAGGAGAGGGACGGGTGTCCCAGAGCTGTGCTGGTGCCCCAGATCCCAGACAGAGCAGGGAGGGCTGGATCAGGACCTACTTCACAGGATCATCCCTTTGGAAATCCTGAGGGGATCCAGCTCGTGGGGTCGAGGTTCAGGTGCTGTAGGGTCATGGACTCGGAGCAAACTCACAGCCTGAGCCCGCGGGATTGCCGGGCACAGACGGGGTTTGTGGGTCTGGTTAATTGGGTGCTGCTGGGATGTTTTGTGAGCTGCCACTGGATTTCCTTTTCTGTGACAGGGGAAGAGAATAGAGGTTAAACAGGTTGGTTGTTGCTTTTCTCACATCTACAGCGGCGGCAGGGAGCTGCTTGTGCCTTGCTGAACTATTTAAGTGCATATTTAATTCCTGAACTGTGCTATTTAAAAACCCCATGTGAATGGTGATGTTTCCTAGATCCTCCTGGGAATGCAGACAGCATTACCCTCCTCCTCTGGGAACAGGTTTAATGGCTAAACCTTGCTATTTTCTTGGTATTTCACCTGCTGTAGCACAAATGTCCTGCAACCTGTGTCAGGGCTGTGCTGAAGTCTCAGCCGGATGTTTCAGAGAGCTGCTGCTGAGCCGGGCGAGGGAGGCAGAGGGGATATTGCACAAGGGAATAATTGCCCAGCCAATTTTGGGTCCTTCCATTATGTTTTGTGATTGCACTTAACATGGGTAATTGGAACCTGTTGCAGGATTAAGCAGAAAATCAGCTTAAAAGGGCAAATTCTGGGAGCACAGAGTTCATGGCTGGTTTGACAGCAAAACCAGAACAAGCCGGCACTCTGTGAACTAATTCTCTGGTGGGAAAACTAGAGAGTGGGCTTTTACAGAGAGAGCAGACGAAACTTAGCAGACTAAAATAAGGGTGTGTTGGAGGTTTTTCTCTTGGAAATACTTTGCAGAGCGTTGATACAAATATTTTAAGAGTCAGCGTTCCCACGTGTGCCCGCGGGCGAGCGGGAGCTGGCAGTGAGGGGAAGCAGCGGGGAATTTTCAGGCTCCCTCTCCATCACCTCGGAGCAGCACGGGCTGCTCCAGGCACTCGCCTCCCCTGGCAGCAGGATTTGTGGTTGAATCTCATCCTGCTGCCGTGAATAGCAAATGCAAAGTCAGAGCAGCTTTTATCTGTGTGTTCCTTGCAAAAAAACAGAGCTGGGCAGCTCGCTGTGCTTCTCCGGGTGAGAGTCAATATCCAGGTCTTTTCACACGCTCTTCTTCTCTCCATCTGTCTGTCTCTCTCCCTGTCTGTGCTTTGGGGCATCAGGACTACTGAGCAAGTGAAATTTCTCTGTTTTCTGTTGTAAGTACTCTCTTCTCTATTTCTTTCTTCTTTTCCTTTGCTGGTTTTGTCCTCTCTCTCTCTCTGGGTGTGTGCTGGCCCCACTCATGTCCACGGCATGCAGGCTCCTTCTTGCCCTTTGACTCGTGCTCTCGGCTGGGTTGTGTCCCGCACCGCTCGGGCCAGATCCCCGGGGTGGAGAGTGCCGGGAGGAGAGGAGAAGAGAGGAGAACCGCACCGGAGGCGTGTGCCCGCGCTTGCTCTCGCCGCATGCCCACCCGCAATGCCTTTCAGTGATGTACAGATCCTCAAAACCAGCGTGTTGACTAATGCAGGGGGAGCAGGGCTCTGTGCCACCCAGGTCCTGCAGAGATGGGTAGATTTTAGCCCTGATGATCAGGATGTCTTTCACCCCCTCCGTGCAGAACCACCGGGCAGGCAGCTGTGATGGAGGGGCAGGGTGGGAAGCATCACCCAGGATGTCAGGGGGATGTCTCCTCTGGCTCTGGGACTGTCGGTCTTAGGGGAGCTTTGCCATCCCAGCTCACTCCAAACAGGGCTCTCTTTGCATCTTTGGTGGCTGCCAGAGCTGATCTGCTCATGGCTCTGCCCTGGAGCATCCCTCCTGTGCCCGAAGCCGGGGTGGTCCAGCTGGTCTGTGAGTTCCTGGTCAGGTTAGAAAGCACAGCTCAAGTAAAGCCGCCTTTGTGCTTTGCCCTGTGACCTGTGCTGTGCCCTGGCATGAGCAGCCCCGCAGTGGGACACCAGTGAAATATCGAGTGCCCTGGGCTGTGCCCCTGCCCAGGGCTCACTGCTGCCCTGCGCTTCCATCCCGCGAGCAGGAGGGACCGGGATCACCCCCATGGAGGCTCCCAGTGATGCTCTGATGCTCCGTGTCTCTTGCAGCTTGTCAGCCCCCCTGGACCCTCTGGGCTCTGCTTGCTGCAAGGGGACTCAGAGGAAGGAGCTTGCTGGGCTTAGTTCCTGATATTATGTCACCTGTCCCAAGGCCCTTCTTGTCCACTTAGTGCCACCTACACGAGCTACAGTAGAGCTGGGCTCGAGCGCTGACATCAGCCAAGAACCGATCTGCCTGTTCCAGCGCGATGCTGAGCGGTGAATTTCTGTCTCTTAAGGCAGCACCCACAGCCCGGGGGGTCTCCCCTGCATCGGGCAGGGCTGCCCCCCTTTGGGTGAATCCAGCTGTGAACGCCAGTGATGGGTGGACTCAATGATCTCAAAGGTCTTTTCCAACTGAACGATTCTATGACCCGACACGGGCGGCTCTGCCTGTCCCTGCTGTGGGGCAGAGCTGGGCATCTGCCTCGGCTGTCTTCTCCCCATCCCCTTGAATTACAGAGCTGTTGGGTGGGGTGATCAAACCAGCAACCAGATGAGGAGATAACCTGACCCCAGGAGAGGGTGCAGAGCAGAGGGGTGGGTAAGG